AAGGGCTGAATCAGATAAATAATTAATAATATACTATAATTTACAGAGGGACATTTTCCCTTGGCGGCACTCATATTATATGGGCTGTACTCTGTGTAATATAAACTATCATTACTGAATAAACAATTATGTTTGTTTAGAAATCTGACAATGTTGAATAAGTATTTAAAACCACAATCATTTAAAAGATTTCATTTTTGACTTTCACATTTGTCAAAAAGAATTATCGTTCGTTCTTATCTAAAATATATTCATTAAAATCTGAAGAACAGGATCAAGAACAAATTAAGATTTCGATTGATGATCCATACAAAGGGAAAAGAATTCACAATGGGAAAGGAATTGATGAATATGTTTTTTCACCAAAGATGAAATATATTGCAACTTGGAGCAGAGAAGATAAATCAATAGTAATATGGACCATCAAAAAAGAACTTACGGTCGAATATGATAATTCGTTAAACGATGATAATTTCAAATTTAACGATGGTTATATGTTGGGGATCGGAGGGATCTCAGATTGTAAGCAAATCATACTAAAATCAAATGAAGCCATTTGTCCCGAAGAACATGGCGAATATTGTCTTTATTTTGGTTAGTTAAATTAATCATTGATGCGCAAATATATTCTATATTAATTAATGATTATTTTTAACAGATATTGTTGACATCAGTACTAAATCAAGACATGAATTGAGAGCGCCAGGGCTTACAGTAGGTATTTTTGAAGCAGCAAGTATTGCTTTTCTGGAAAATGGAGATCTTGCAATTGTCATAGGATTTCCTGTTTATCGGGTTTATATCTTTACAAAATCAAAATCTAATGACAAACATCAATGGACATGCAAAAAAAGTTTTAAACTCGAAAAATTTTGGGTTTGCACCATTAAACAAAATAGAAAGTTGTTTGTGTTTTACATTATACCCTCTGTAATTATGCAATGGGACTTGATAACTCAGAAGTTTGATATGCAATATATGCTATATTCGAATTCAAATTTTGATTTTATGCGTTTTGGAGCTTTAAAAACGATATTGAATAGTGATAATACATTGTTTGCAATAGCATATGTAAAATCTAAAGATATGCAGGTATCATTTTGCAATGTCTATGTTTATTCGACCAAATCTGGTATAATGATAGCAAATAGTGAGTAATTTATATGTAAATTATCAATATATAAATCTCAAGATTATTAATTTCATTTAATAATTTAGGAAAATTTGATGAGGGCTTACATAATTTCTGTTTTATTGGATCAAAGGAAAACGGGCGTTTGCTTTTTTCTGGCCAGAATGATGAAACAAAAAGTTATAACATTTATATATTGAATCCTTATACGCTCACTCTTGATAAATCGCCTGAAAATTATGTCTTACGGGATATTTATCCTGCTACATTTGAAAATTATAATTCAATTGGTTCTATTAATATTGTCTTTGATTATATTATAAAAAATGTTGATAATCAACTGTCGATTCAAAGATTGTCTCAAAATGAAATTTGAAAAAATTATTTAGGACATAAAGAGCATTATTGTAGTAGCTATTTCAATGTAAAGGAAATTAGACTATTTGTACAGTCTATTTTGGAAAAGTGTGAAAAGTGTGAGGAATATGAAATAATCAAATGTTAGCTCCAAATGAACGTGAAGAATTTTCTGTAGAGACTCACACTTGGATTACTGAACCTAATAAATGGTTAAGGGCCCGAATTGGATCTGACAAAGAAATTGAATCTAAGCATATTTGTTTATGTACCAGTTTTATACATAAAGTGCTCGAGAATGGTGACATATTGATTGTTGACCAATGGGTGATAACGTTTATACCATAATTATCGGTACAATAAGATTTGAGGACAATTCAGAAAAAAATTCTAAAGAACCAAAAATTGTCGCAATTTATTCTTGATTCGATGGATCTGAACAAACAGCGGAAATATTCAAGCATTCCATAATTGGATTTCTTTCTTCCTTTAAAAATAGGTTAAATTCTTATTATTTTGATTTTGAAATTTTACCACCTCCACATATGACAAATCTGTATAAGTTTTACATTTATGAATCGACATTATTAAAATTATATGGAAAAGATCTATTTCATATATCAATTTCAGGTCCACGTTTTAATGAATTTTATGATTATTACTATAAATATAGTTTGTCGTTGTTTAAGAATGAAGATATTTATAATTTTGTATTGATGATAGGCCAATTAGCTTCTGTGCTAATTATGTTAGAAAAGTATAACAAAAATCAAAGATTTACAGAAACATTTTTATCTAAAACCAATTTTTTAGTTGCCACTATTAATCCTATAAACAATCCTATTGAACGTGATGATCCTTTATCATGTTTATCATATAATCTCCAACACTGTAGAACCTATGTTAATCATAATTTATTTAATACTTTACCTTTTAGCCATATGTTTTCCTGGATTTCTGAAAAATGTAAATTTTTAAAAAACTCTTGTCCTCAAATTTATAACATTTTAGCATTTCCTTATTTGCTATATTCATTCTACTTTAATATTTATTCACAAGAAACTTTAATTTTAATATTTCCAATATTAAATTTTGCTACATATCCTAAAGATTATAGCTATATAGAGCTATTTTATTTACAGGGTAATCCCTTTACCTCACTACTGGATACTCCAGATTATTATAAATGGTGGAATGTTAAAGCGCTTATTAACTTCAAGTGGAATACTTATGGACGATTATATTATTTTATAATGTGGGCAATATATTCAATTTTTATGAGCTGCTTTTTAATTGTTTCAACAATTCCAGAACATGAAATTTCTTGGAATAATCAAACTATTCTATTGGTTTCAACTGTCTTTTTTGGATTTTTTCATTTTATTTTTGAAGTTCGTCAATTTATCCATAAACCAATAACCTATATTGCTAGTCCTTGGAACTGGTTTGGTATATATATTTAATTTATAATAATTAATTTAATTTATACAATTACAGTTCTAAAGTTCTATTTTATAATTTTATTGCAATTTTAACTACAGATCTTGCTGCGATATTTGCACCAACAATAGTTTCATTATTTTGGTTATATGAAAAAACACTACCAACCTGGGCTATAAGCATTGCAGCTTTTTTACTTGAAATTAAATTTTTATTTTATTTTCGTGCTTTAGATTATTTTGGAACATATTTTGCAATTATAATAGGAGTAGCGCAAAAAGTCTTTTCTTTTCTCCTTGTTTTAGGCATTATGGTGTTAGTTTTTGCCCATTCTTTACATCTTTTATTGAGACCAACTAGCGAATATTCTTATGATCAACCAAGTTATACTGATGATATTAATAATCCTTAGAATCTTGTTCCAACATATAAATTTATTTCATCTAATGGTACTGTGGAAGGGTCAACACTTATTGAAACTCCTGATGAAAGTACAAATTTGTTTACGATGTTTAGTACTTCAATATTAGCAGTTTATTTTATGTTAACAGGTATTATATAATAACAATTCGTCACAGATAAAGCTAGAAATAACTGAAGTCAGAAATTAGGGATATTAATTTAAAAATATAAATCCGTCAAAATCCATTTATGCTCTTTTCTTATCAAAACTAATTCTAAATCCTAGTCTAAACTGTAAAGAAAAGGCTGTTTCAAAAAATTTTCATATTAAAAGATTTAAAATTTCCTACTTCAGCCATTTCAGCTTCAGTCACGACAATGATTAGGCAAAATCTAACAAAAAATATTTATTTTTTTTAGGAGATACAAGTTCAGTTTCTTCTTGGGTTCTAAAAAATAATTGGGCTTTAGCATTTTTCTTAGTTATATTTTCATTTTTTACAACCATTTATTTATTGAATCTATTTATTTCATTACTTGGAAATGCTATTGATGACAAAAACAATGAAGAATCCTTTTTATGGCTAAGAGGAGAGGTACAAGATCTTATTTAATTTAGGGATATAATAACATAAAAATAGTTACTATATTTTATTTTTAAATATTATCCGAAATTGAACTTTTTTGGATGTTACCTCATCAAAGAAGAAAGAAAAACTGGTTTCCCGAAGTTTTGTAATTAATTTTGTTATTTGTACTTAAATATTATATACTATACATTAATATAATTTTAATTTTTAGATATTACAGAGCTTCAGTTGATGAACTTAAAAAATATGTAAAAAGTGTTGAAGATAAAAATAGTTTGCCTTCTAAAATCTTGGAAATTTCTAAAATAGACGATTTTGAAAAAGAATTAAAAGATTCTATAAAAGAATTAAAAGATTCTGTGAAGGAATTAAAAGATTCTATGAAGGAATTAAAAAACAATTAACTGATATACTACTGTAATTTTTATAAATGTTGCAATATATATTGATTGTTAAAATTTTTTATTTTTGCTATTATATATCAGATAGATGTCTATTTGTTTTTATTACTTAAACTCTACACTTATTTGATTTTAAACATTTATTAAAACTTAACAAATTGTCGATATAGAAAATTAAATTTTTTTATTAATAATAATCATACAAACAAGACAGGATCATTAGACCTTTTTATAACTAAAGTAAACAATTAACTGCAAAGATAAATCAAGAAATAATATAAAGAATTTAAAATCTTAAACAGCTTTATTAATGCAAAGTAAATCTTAAGGTAATTTTCTAATTATTCATATTGCAAAATGCAAGATAACTAAAAAAAGTGTCATAAATACTTTAATATGAATAAACTGAATTAGCCTCCAAAAGAAAACAGAGTAAACTCAATTTTTAGACAATTAACTTGATAGGATATTCTAATTATGTTCCAAGTCATTTCAATTTCACCAATTAAAAAATAGCCCGGGTGATTTTTAATGCAGGTCACAAGATTCAGTGTAATATTATTGACGTATTTATTAACAAGATAAAGCATTGCACTAATGCTGTGAGCCTTAAAATTAAATGAGTAGAGAGAAAATGGCAACTAATTGCATTTATTTGATATGTTAAGCAAATGGAAAGATTTCTTAAATAAATCAATGTCGAGGCGTAATAATCATATTTGCAGTATGATATACAAGAGTGCAGAAATTTTTTATAGAAGAAAACTCTAAACATATTCGACAATACATTACATAGCAGACATTAAAACGCATTCATTACTTACTAGTAAAAACTTTAACTCATTATAACTTTTTTAAAACAAACTAAATCAAAAAACCTCCGACAAATTGATAGATTTTTAACTAACTACATTCTGTCAGAGTATTTTATATTATTTTTGGTTTAAAAAGTTATAAGAGGTTGAAGTTTATAATGGTTTAAAAAATTGCCATTTAAAATAAAAAAAAAGATATATATTTAATTAACCAAGCAGAATCAATTACACCCAAATTAGCCAATCAAAATTGATTATATAAGCATCAAAAATCGGCGCTCTACAGATTGGATATCTTTTATTGTCCCGTACTATATAAAGGGTACGGATACTATGCAATACTGACATATCAACGTGCGCTTTTATGTTTTTTGCATAGTTTTTCATGAAATTTTGGTACGTATGATTGCATTCCTCGGAATTTCTACACAGCTTAAAATAGAATTTGGAATAGTACCATTCTTCAATGGAAAAAAAAACCAAAATTATCATTGCAATTCTTAAAACGATTATCTCAGACATTGGTTAAACCCATCCAACAGAATTATATCCGACAAGAATTTCATCAGTATCCTTAGCTTTCATAACTACATTAAGATGTGTTTTCTTATCACATAAATGCGATGGCAGTAAAACCATCTCTTGTTCATATAGGTTATTTATTGCAGAATAATTTCAGCTTTGTTATCAACCCCTGAAGCAATTTTTGCAGCATGCACATCAACAATAACTGCTGAAAATAGTTTGGTAATTCTAGTAGGTAATGTTTGTGTTAAAATTAAGCGAAGAGGTAGAACAGTTGAAAATACAGACTGGTTCATCATAAACTTTCTTGTAATGTTTTTCCAAAGCTTTTTTCAAAAATTTGTTGATATGGTTGACATTATTAAAAATATCATTACCAGACATTTGAAAATAACGGTAACGGTTATGAGGCAAACAATTTTGTAAAGTAGTCTTTAAAGTTAAAAAATTTTCATGAGACAAATCATCAGGATCAGACAGTAGGCTAGGATTTTGCAATTCCCCATTCGGTAACACGATTTTAAATTTTTACTGATAAAATCTTCTAAATAAAAATTTGCCGGGATATTTTACTAGAAAATCATTGCACTATTTTTGTAACTTTTGAAGCTTATTATTCTGGAAACTTTTTTGATAAATACGAGTAGAGTGCAAACGGAGTCAATGAGCTTCTGTTTCAATTTAAACGAGTTTATTTTGCTCAATAGTTGATAAAAAATGTAATCTTTTGCATCTTGGGTCCAATTGATATGCAAGATATATATTTGTATCAGAAGTTGGCCAATAATAAAATAAGCATTATAAAGTGAAGATTTATACAATTCAATAAACCACTTGTATTTATAGGTGTATTAATTTTTATTTATAATCTTTTTGGTCATATCATGGTTTCTTTATCATCACAGTTACTGACTTGACGTATTCCAGCAATAAACCCATCTCAGCAGACTTATGATAATGTATAAATGCCCTATGTTCATCTTTTTTAACACCAATTCCATTTAGGTAACAGTGGCTGACTTGATAAATTACGATCCAATTTCCCATTTCAGCAGACTTTTGATAATGAACGAACGCTTTATATTCGTCTTCTTCAACACCAATTCCACTTTGATAACGATAATCAACTTGAAACATTCCATCAGAAATACCCATGTCAGCAGATTTGTGATAATAAATGAATGCTTCATGTTCATCTTTATCAGTACCAATTCCATTTTCATTACAATAACCAATGTTATATGTACCAACAACGTCCCCATATAAGCAGTTTTTTGATAATGAATAAATACATTATCACTCTCTTTTCAATTTTAATTCCATCAAGATTAGTTTTTCCAAGCCTAATTCCAGTTCCATTACCAAACATTTTGTAATAACTAAATAACTTATATTCATCTTGAAAATTCACCATGTTAGCTTCTATATTTTTCTCTATTGAATATTTAAATTTCTTATGTCCGAAATTTGTTTCAATACACACTCCTGGTGATAACGTTCCAATAAAGTGTACAGATCTTCTTTCTTAAAAAAAAGATGCAAATTTATTAAGTTTATATTTGTTTCGAATTTTCTGAAGCCCAAAACCAGAAAACACCAAAATACTGTTACAAGTCACTCTCGTTATAGTGAACCTCTTTTATAGTTAAGAACAAGTTTATATAAAAGCCCTCTCGATATGGTACCGTAAATGGCCGGATACAAGACCTCCCCTCGACAGTAGACCCATTATGTACTATTTCCGAGCGCAAATCGCAGGATCTTCTTTAAATGTGGTTCTTTTTAAAAATCTAGATTGCCTGTTATAAACGCAAAGTATGTATGCATTTCAAATTTCTACAACATGCGATATAAACTCTCAGCCGTGTACTATTCCCGGGTCTATTAAAGGATTCTAGAATTGGTGAAATGTAACAGACCCGGGTCTTGTATCCGGCCATTTGAGGTAATTTTATTAGTAGATAACAGTTTACAAATGAATGCTTTTAATTGTAAGGCAATTGATTTAGAAACAGTTTTTGTACAGAATCCGATTCCGATATATCTTATAAGGCAATAAAATTAAAAAAAAATATTTATTTGCATGAGAAAAGACAACAGCAGATACGCTTTATCTTACCCATTGTTTCCTTTACTTATGATATTGACTTCAAAATAAAACGATTCATTTTGTTGTGGTATGCCCGTATTGCAGCAGCTTCTGAGTCTCCTCTTTCAGGACCTATTCATTTAAAGAACCCAGATTAAGTATTTTGAAATTAAGTGAATTAAGTGTAATCGACAGAAATTAATAAAGTTTATTGGTGAATTTCATTATCCCATGACTTTAATGTCATAATATTTACTCACCTTAAATCGATCCGAATCCACACTTAAAAAAGAGCTTTTTATCTTCGATATTCCACAAATTAGGTAAAGCCATATTTTCATCATGAAAATTCTACAAATCCTGTTTTTTCAAGATGAGCTGGAAGTTTACTAATTGAGGATGATTTATCATTATCGATATATACACTGCTATATCGATATACAATCTGACTTTAAACGAATTGTCAGCCATGCAATGAAAATGAATTGCCTAATGAAACCGAATAGACATCTAGAAACTAACCTTTTGTTCTTATATATAAAAACAACCTTGAAAAAAAGAGAAATAATCCAAAAGTTATATACAGAATTTCTTTTTTTTCTCATATGCTGAAAATATTCAGCAATCAACGAGTATTATCATGCATGCAAGCATAAATTCTGTGCCATCATTTATCATGTGAACTCGATGTACGTACGTACGTATATTTGTAGAACTCTAATGCCCTCTTAGTGTAGCTAGCAGCAGAGGTCTTTTTCGATTTTTAACAACGCCCTACCTTGTTTAGTGCGTCGAAAGTGCATCAAGGGTGCGTCGAATGTAACCCAGGTTCGAACTGCGAAAATAAAATTTCCAATTATATATATGATTGTGAATTTTATTTTTGTAATTCTTTACTCCCCCCTTCTTCGAAACTGGATTACACTCGAAGCACCTCTGATGCACTTTCGACGCACTAAACAATGTAGTTAGTGTTACCATTGTTTGGGGGAGTTTCTATACAATCGAAATACATATCTTACCTAGTAAATATATAGCAAATAAGTTAATATTTGTACTATATATTACTGGTTAATATTTAGTTAAAATATAATTTTTTTACCAGTGTATACTTCTAAGCTTCCGCCACCAGCTCAGAAGCCTCACAATATCCTTATAATCCAGACTTTAGCCACGATGAACATTCCCGTTATGTTAAACGCAGGGATGTCACAGGACAGCCTTTGGACAAAGTTTGGACATCTTGGACAATTTTAAATATTAAAATTGCTCAAAGTTTTATTAAGTTAACTTATTTCAATTTTCTAAGTAAAAAGGTTTAGAATTAAATAAAATATATAATCATGTTTTTTTGAAATAGATTTTTTAATTATCAAAGCTTAGATGAGCTTTGAACACTTGGACATTTGAACCAAAAAAGGCTTTGGACATCAAAAATGTACATCCCCTGCTAGTTCGATTTTTCAAAGAAAAATCGTGACACTAGCATGGCGGGCTTTATTATGATTGACAGATATTTGCAATTTTGTAGTGTGAATAAGCACAATAATTGCGTCTGTCACGATTAACATATACAGTATAGAATGATTTAGGCATTTGTAAAGAAGCGGAAGTGTATTTTGCATTCAATCTTTAAATTCTCCTGCTTCATAAACATTTTCGATTAAATCATTACTAAACCTTAAGATCGGATCATTTGCTTCGCCTCGGAAATAACAAATAATTTGTATATTATTCATCACATAGTTTGGAACGTCACAAATAATATGAATAACATTGCTGCTCACATGGATAACATCGCTACTCGTATACAAAGGGAACATGGATAACATCGCTATTCGCATTCAAAAAGAAACATGGATCAAGGTTTAAATTTACGAAACAATGTGATACTATTCATTAAATACTTTGAACGTTTCAAATATTTTGGGTAACATCGTTAGATGCGAGAGTAGAAATGTTGTTTAGTAGTTGAATTGTTGGTTTAAATAGTCTTGTTAACAGAAGAATCATTTTATAATAAATAACCCGATTTTTTTTTAAACTATATTTAAACATTCTTGATCAAAGTCAATTTATTTAAAATATTAGTTTCGTCATTTAAGTTAAAATGTTTGACTAATGCATTTTTAGAGATTTTTATCATTTTAATAGTTAAAGGCTATGCATCATGTATTATGGCCATAATTTGCAATTATTATGCAAGCATGCGATTTAAGTTAAGTTCAATTGAAATTCAACTTACCACTCAAGTAAACGCTCATTTTATGATGTTGAGCGACTATACTTAAAATAATTAATACAAAATTTTTTTTGTAATTAAGTAAGTGCTTTTGTTTACTAGATCAAACCATCCATTATGTTTAATAACTATCTGCTTTACATGAAATTTATTAATTATGATTAATATTTTAAGTAATTCCTTTGTTCACTCGATCAAACCAACCCATTGAATTTAATAACTATTTGTGTATAAAATTAATAATTATTCTGTAAATGCTTTAAATAAAATTAGCTTGATCGGAACCAATTTAGATTATTATATTAGCATACTTAAATTATTATGTCAATAATTAAATTGTTAAAAATAAACCGATATAGAAATTAAATTTCTGGGATTATAATACGTAGTTACATTTTTATTCTTTAATTAACCATAATAATTATCATTATAATAATTAAAATCACATACAGCGTTAAAAAAAATTACATGCAGTACATTAACAGGACACGTTATCCGAAATTACAAATCAAAAAAAAAAAAGATTTAAATAATAATCTAATTTTAATTTCATACATTTACATAAATAATAAAATATGGCCATTTATATCTCTGTTAGAACTGGCTTATTAGAATTATCTCTATGCGGCCTAACAGTTATCAAAGGTAATGAAGCGATAAGAGTTAATCCTGAAAAAACAATTGTAACTCTAAATGCAGTATCCAAAGCTGTTACAAAAGCGTTAAGTACAGGACTAGGCATTTGGCCAGAGCCTGAGCCTGGCCCAGGTGAACCAAGACCATGTAAAAATCCACGATATTCTTGGGGTAAATTTGCAGTAAGTACATTGTTAAAAACTGTGCCCAGAATAGCTACACCAAAGACTGCACCCACTTTAGAAATAAAAATAAAAAGATAACACGAAATTAGTCAAAATTTTAAAATTTTATTTAGTTAAAGGATAATGATAAAAAATATAAAATATATTACGTACTTGTTCTGAAAAATGTCAGTAATGCAGTAACGGTAGCAATATCTTTAGGTTCTGCAATTCCTTGTCCGGCTAATACAATAATTTGAATAATCAAACCAATGCCAAGACCGGCAATGAGACAATAACCTATTATTTGACCTCTACTTGTATCGACTGAAAACGTGCTAATTAACCCAGACCCTACAGCCATTAAAATACTTCCGAGAACGCAAAGTGTACCATAAGTAAAAAAAACAGTCCTTGAAACTAGTTGACCTGAAGAGATGGCCATTACGACTACACCCAGCATAAGAGGAAGAAGTTCTAAACCTGAAGTGGTAGCTGTAGAATAATAAAAATATTTATGAGCAATACAATATTAATGGTATCAAAGGTATTAAGAACAATAAAATTAAATTATTTTAGGTACCAGTTTCAGATTTTACAACTTGAAAATAAAGTGGTACAAAGAATATTAGGGCAAGAAATGCCATTCCATGAAAGAGATTTACAACAAAACATGAAACTATCTTAAGGTTTTTGAATAAATGAACTAATAAATGATAAATTATAATAAAATATTAATAATAATGATATATGGTAAGCGATTATATGACAATGAAAAGCTAAAATTTACGAGGAGCAATTGGTTGTTCAGCGAGCCTTGCTTCGATAAAAACAAATATTATATATCCAACAAAGCCTAAGCATAATAAAACTATTATAATGGGATCACTCCATTCTGAAAAATTTTTTTTCAAAAATATGAAGATTAGTATGTGTTTAGAATAAAAAAATATTATGAATAGAATATTTTTTTCAAGATAAGCCTACCATATTTTGAGCCACCCCAATTAAGTGGCAATAACAAGAGAATAGTTGCGGAAACCAAAGTAAGAGCACCCCACCAATCAACTCGCGAGAATTTTGACCAAAAAGAACCAGTAGGAGATGGAAGGTGCAATAAAAAGATAACAGAGATAAAGGTGATGACACCTAAAGGAAGATTTATAAAGAATGCCCATCTAAAAAAATATGAATAACAATGATAAATTTATAATTAATTAATAATCAAATAATTTTATATAACTACAAACCTCCAAGTGACTTTATCCGTAAAAGCACCACCCAATAAAGGACCTATAACTGACGCAATACCAAAACAACCACTAATCATTCCTTGATATTTTCCACGATCTTTGATCGGAACTATTTCTGAAATAATAATCAATACAAGTCTAAAGAATTTAATATTTGATAAAAATAAGATTAGATAGATTAAATAATATTTAAATTCTCCAGAAAAAAATCAAATAAAAATTTACCCTATAAGACCACCTCCGCTATAATTTTATTAATTTTGTGACGCGAAAAAAATAATGATTATTAAACATTTAAAAAATAATTTTGAATTTTGAATTTAAGCTAAGGAAATTACCCTAGGCCCGCAACAGCACGCGATATGATTAACATAGTCTATGAAAATAAGAGAATGTAAGAGAATGTAAAAAAAAAAAAAAAAAAAAAATACAAAAAAATTAGATACCATATTAACGGATACACCGCATAAAAGTGAACCAAACTCGAATAAAAATATTGCTGTGAGAAATACAGGTTTCTGCATTAAAAATGCGGATTTTTAATTGTTATATGAAAATATGGAAATTTGAATATCATCTAACATAATATCATAATGACACTCACACGACCAAATATATCTGAAAGTGCACCATATGTTGGTTGGAAAGCGGTCTATTGATATATATTTAGAACGTAGATTGAGGTTAATATACTTCATGAAGATACAACCGTGATTTTATTATCAGAAAGTCTATGGGTATTTTTTATGAACGATGCAAATTCACGTAATTAATTATAAAATTCATATTTACAGTATCGCACAGATTAAAAGATATTCTTTTTACAATACCAAATATTCCATTATTCATAAACAATTCTATTTTAAAAATTAAAATTACCTTCTATAATGCATTTACTTGAAAGTTTTTTTAATAGAATAGATATTTTAATTTAGACCTCAGATCTTTTAATCAATGCGATATTGTATTTTCCTAATTTCTAACTCAAATATCACTATTTGCATTGCCCATAAGAATTATAATATACATGACGCAGAAACCATTGCAGCACCTCCGAAATATTTTGGCATTGATCTTTCATATAAAGTTTGCCGAAAGTCGAATAGTGCAGAAACTATTTTCTTGAATCATTATCAATTAGATAAAAACACACCGCAGTAAGTAAATAAGCTGTTCCAATCCACGAGATTTCATCGAGAGATTTAAATTCTAATGCAATAGCCGGTAAAGCAGTTGCAACTATAGTTTGATCTAAAGCAGCCAAAAATATAGCCAACGAAAGACTATGTATTCAAGTAATTAACATTTTTACATATAAAAGTTGATCGGAATAACTTTAATAATAATTGTAACACATACCCAACAAAAACCAATAAAATTTGAGTTTTATTCATAGTATATTGTGGTTCATGGCTATCTTTGGAGATATTTACTTTCTCATCCACAACTTCATGTTCGGGTGTCAACTAAAATAAAACTTGAATTTCGTTGATGGTATTTTTTTTTGGTTTATGATCAATTTCTGAGACTCCTACCTTTTCTACCACATTATCAGGCTCAGAGGAGAGCTGAGGTGTATTTTCAACTTTATTTGCGTCTTGAGACATTGGATAATATATTAAATTAGGCAATACTTATTGAATGATGGAAACTTGAACTAGAATTGACTTTTTTCTGTAAAGAAAAAGTGAGAGATTTAAATTTATTATGTCAGTTTATATAAAATTTAATTAATGCATATTTAAACCTTATTTCGTATTTTGCATGGTACGTAGATGCGTGCGTACGTATGTGCTCAAGTATTTACAAGTAACTAGTTGAAACGATATCGGCTAAAATGCAATTATAGTTGCCGATATATATTCCCGGAATAATACTTATCCCGAAAAGCTGCTTCTGATATATATATACATATCCTTGTTCAACAATTGTCATCCGTTACATTCCTGAAAATGGATTTGAGGTGTCTTTAATTAAGGGTACCACATGCATGGTAAATACAACCACACAGATTAATACACGCGTTTATAAAAAAAACTCCGAGAAAACTTGTTTATATACTGTAGAACGCAATTAGGAATTTTAATTAATATATTTATAAAACACTTAGTAATTTCATTATTTCCTTTTTTGTTCGCCTTGTACTCAATTACGTAACAGTTAATAAATTATTACCAGTACGATCACATGAAATGTGGAGGGATGGTTGCGTTCAACTTTTTGGTGCGCTATATTTTTTCCTATTTTAG